CACTCATTTTCTCATTTCAACACTGAGTATCTGCTTCTCTGTGCTTGACACAACTCTCTTGGATAAACTTATACGGCAAGACCTCTTTTTCAGATTTATAATCTTGTTCTTTAGAAGAGAATAAACCATAGATTGGTCTATGCCATGACAAGACAGTTTCATAGCCAATAAGTCCAGGAGAGAAGGAAAATAAGGAATGAATGTAAGGGGAACCAAAGACAAATTTATCTTTCAGGTCCAGTTTACTTGAGGCTGATCTTACTCTAGAACCTTAAACTTCCAGGTGAAAAATTAAATTGAATCAAATTCTTTTTCACTCAGTCAGTACTTGCTTGGCATAGAAGTTAGGTACAAAATACCCTCAAAGTTATTTTCTTATCAAATACAAAAATATTTTTTTTTCTGTTTTTTTGTTTGTTTGTTCTGAGATGGCCTTTTCCTTCTGTAGCACAAGACATAAGGGTTAGATGGGGCAAGTACAATGGCAGAAACTAGACAGAAATCTCAAATTGATCCAGTGCTTCTGTTTGTTCCTTAGGATAATGGTATTATTTTAATCGTCAAGAGACATCAATTCTTCACTCTTGATTGTGCAGCCTCGCTCTCATGTAAAGTTGATTATCATGTCAAACATAAGCACAGATGTCATTTTTATAACACTGTTTATTTAGTATTTTCTCTCCATATCAGGCATTCCGTGATTGGCTTTGAGAAGGTTTTATGCCTGAACAATTCTGGGACAATGTGCCTCACCCTATCCCTGATGAAACCAATGACTAAATGTTGCAAGCCCTAGGTGAAAAGAGGCTAAACCTGAGAGGACTTAACCCACTTCAAAAACTGAGAACATAAAGTTTACAAATGAGAACATAAAGGAAGTTGATGGGATGCCTTATATATGTAATGTGGCATTTGGGAAAAAATTGTTTGAAAACCCAATAAGTCATGTTGTTTCAGAGAAAGAGAGATCCATTAGTTTTGTTTTTTTTTTTTAATACACTTTTTTTTTTTTTAACTGAAACCAAGACTGGGATCTATTAGGTTTTAGGATATAGAAAGGGGAAACAGTTTTTTCCCAATTTTGTCCTTTATACATCTTTTTGATCCATTGATTGTTAATTATATGGACATGGGAGAATCACTAAGACCAAAGATTAAAGCAGATGAAACATTGACAGATCTGAAATGTAGGATATTTTCCATACAGGAACTAGGAGATCCCAACAAATAAAATCCTGTGTCACACATGTATCACCATTTGGCAATAGGAGACCACGGGTCAAGTACAAGCTTAGGGAACAAACTAGAGCTGAGCCCCATCTATCTGTGACAAAGTCAGTGGAATTAAAAAGTTCAAATAGAAGTGAAAGATCAGATTTAAAATTGGGGGAAAGTATAAAGCACATATGTAAGCATCTTAAAGTTGGAAACATCTGAAAAATATTTGTGGATCAGGTTTCTAATGAGGCTTAGGAGACTTTTTCTCCCTCTAGACTTGCAAGTTGGAGTAGAAGAGAGAAGATATGGAATCGGTGGGTTCCTTTTAGAGAACTATTAATCTGGGGATAGGATGGTGGTACATAAATAAAAGAAAGGAAGAAATCAATGAAGAGTGCTAACATAACAAAAAATTCTATGTTACATTTCCATTCAGAGATTGAAGGAATACTCCTGTAAAAAGTCAGCTGCACAAATAGACCAAACAGCTCATAAACAAATTGCAATTCTTACAAAGAAAGACAATTAATAAGAACTGATCCCATTTATAAAAAGCAGAAACTACTATACAGTGGGTTACAGGAAGGAGCATGAAACTATAAGTAATGCCAAACTTGCATGAATCTCATAAACATAATAATGACCAAATGGAGACAGACACAAGACTGCATACAGTTAATTTACAAAAAGCTCAAAAATAGACAAAATAAATCTACAGAATCTGAAAAGTATTCTTTAAAAAAAAAAAATTATTTATTTATTTATACAAGCACTGGGTACGGTCAGAAGCACGGGAGGGTGAGAGAATTCACCAGAGCCAGAGTGGGGAACAGAACAGGCAGACTGACAAAGTACACTGCTGAGAGGAGCAGCGGGCGCGGCAGGAGAACTCTGTCGTGCCATGTGGGACCCTCGCAGGTGGCCGGGGATAAAACCAGCGCTGCAGAGGCTGCGGGCAGCTTCGCAGCCCAGCGCTCAACTGCTGCACCACCAGGGGAGGCCCTGAAAAGAAGTATTCTTTATTGGGGAACAGTGATAGGAAGGAATTACAAACAGGAATCTAATGGATGTTGGTAATGTTCTGCTTCTCGATCTAGGTTACACAGTTTCTGAGAATTAATCTAGCTGTACATTTATGATATATGCACTTTTATATATTTTTTTCTATTTCCATTAAAATATTAAAGCAGTGTTTCCCATCTGTGTTCCAGAGGACTATGTTGGCTAAAGAAAGGTTATTAGGGAATTCTTTCATGAAAGATTTTGGTTTTTCTTAAGTTTGGAAAATGCTTGGAAAGACCCATTTAAACACACTAAGTCCTCACTTAACATCACCATTATGTTCTTGAAAGTGCGGCCTTAAGCAAAACTATGTAACACAAAACCATACAAGAGTTAAGTCCTAATGGCATATTTCTGGTCACAAAACATCTCCAAACTTCTAAACACAGACCCCCAAAACTTCTCGTGTTAAACAATAATTTGTAGGGCCTCCCCGGTGGCGCAAAGGTTGAGCGCTGGGTTGCGAAGCTGCCCTCGGCCTCTGCGGCGCCGGTTCGATCCCCGGCTGCTCCCCTGCCACCAGAGGAGGGTCCCACATGGCACGCAGACCTCTCCTGCTGCCCGCTGCTCCCCTCAGCAGTGTACTTCGGTCCTTCTGCCTGCTCTGCTCCCTGCTCTGGCTCTGGTGAATTCTCTCACCCTCCCGCGCTTCTGACTCTACCCAGTGCATGTATAAACAAACAAACAAATAAATAAAATAAATAAAACATGCCTCTATAAAAAAAAAAAAACAAAAAAAAACAATAATTTGTATTCATTCATTCATTTTCCAACCTGCTTACTCTAGTTCAGGGTTGCCTATTCCATCAACTGAGGGCACAAGTCAGACACCAATGCTGGACAGGATGCCCTTCCATCACAGGACACACTCAGCTGTCCATCCACACTCACTCACTCACTCATCTTATATTCACCAGTAAACCTAACGTACACATCTTTGGGATGTGGGAGGAAACTGGAATACCCAGAGAAAACCCACACAAACATGTGGAGAACATGAAAATTCCAGACAATGGTTCCAGACAGGAATCAATCCCCTAACCCCTATTCCCCTATTAACATTATAACAAAATGATAGTGAATGACCTTTAGGTTATTCAAGTATCTGCTGTACATTCTCACTTTACAGAAAGTCTCCATCAATGAGTTAGAAGACATTAACTATCCCTGTACAACCCTGGATCATTCAAGGGTTGAAACCCATTCAAGGTCTCTTGAAACCCAAACTTTGGTCACAAGAGAAATCTGCATGAAAGCTGTGGATCTGCACATACAGTTTACCCCTTGATTGGAACAAAACCACTTGTGTGCACACATTCACTGTTACTAGCCAGCCTGGATCAGCAGCAAGAGTGCATACAGTTAAATTTACAAAAAGCTCAAAAATAGGCAAAAAGCTCAAAAATAGACAGAAATATTCTTTATCAGGGAACAGTGATAGGAAGGAATTACAAACAGGAATCTAATGGATGTTGGTAATGTTCTGCTTCTCGATCTAGGTTCTCATTGAAGAGCGCACACTACACATATGGTGCTGGCTGCTCATTTAGAGGCACATTTCCAGTCAGCACCCTTGCACCCATGTAATCCCAGAGCAGTAAGCTGGCACATTTCATGGAATTAGTAAATATAATAGAATAAAGGCATCAGAAAAGAGGATTTGTAAATAGAGCTTTTTTGAAAATGTGATTTCAGAATGCTCAAGTAATCTCAGCATGCTCACAGGTTTCCAGTTCACAGATCAGAATCTCTCCCAAATGCTTCAAGCCTATCACAAGTTGACTCCTATAATCATTTCCTTTTTCTTCTAGTCACTGATGTCAAAACAAATCAGTACTTCTTTACAACCATCATTGTGCTTATACACAGGGCGGGGAGTGGGGCGCAGGCAGCAAACAGCTGTGTCCTTTGATTTAGGCTCATGCCTCTTTTCTCTTAAACTCCTTTTCATTCTTGTTACTGTGAGTGAGATTGTGATGTTGAAAGTTGTCTTTGCACAGGAAAAAAAATGTGTTATTATCTTTAGGACATTTTTCCCAATTTCAACTTGGTTTAATCAGGCAGTTAGTTTATCTTTTGGCTATTCATTTCTGCCAACTTCTAAAGGGAAAAGAAAGACAATCACCTGAACTCAAATAATTTTGGGGGTGGGAGGGGGAGGAGAGATGCATCTTCAAATGACATTTTGCCTTGAAACTCGTTATTTCTCTTCCTGGCATCTGAGCATCATCATTCCTTGTGATGTTCAGCTTGGTTTGGAAAATAGGCATCAATAAAAAGCATACTACATTGCAAACACTCAATTATATCATGCTACATGGCTGACAGTGAGCATGATTATATTTGAGACTGCAAAAGTCAATAAAAAAAATACAGAGAGAGAGAAGAAGAGAAAATAAAGAGGAAATTTTACAAACGCAACTGTCACAACCAGGGTTATACAATCCTAAAGTAAAGTAGAAAAATAATTTAACAAAATGACTACTGGACTTGGTTTAGGTCCAAGACATAATGAGCAATATTGCAAAAAAGAAAAAAAATCTTAAACATATTTGCTCCAGAATGAGGAAAAATATTAGCCAAGAACTACAGTGAGACAAGTACACTTCAGAGCAGAACACTTAAAATTTTGGTGAGAAAGAATTCCTTGTACTAGAGAAAAGAATAAATTTTGAGATTGGCTAGTTCATATTTTCATAACCAGCAATGATTGCACCTACCTCATTTAAGTCCTGCTGACTTTCAAAAGCATCCTTTGGCCAGATGACAGACCTCTGGTCTATTCTATAAGACACAAAGAAAAATTATCTCCACTTAAAAGAAACCATTCAACAATGCGCATTTGAAACTTGTAGCTACAAACCTGTTCATAGCCCTATTAAAATTCTTAAACAGTGTCCCACAGCCCACAGAATAAAATCCAGACTACTTGCAATGGTCTGAAACACATCACAGTATTTGAACCCTACAACCTCCTGCCCTTACCTCCTGTCATTCTCCCTCTTGTCCGCTATACTATAGTCTCTCTGGCCTCTGCATTTCTCAAGCATACAGTGGTAGTTTCTTGGCCAACCTTCACACATGCTGTCCCTGACTGCAAGACTCTTCCCCCAGATCTTCATAAAGCTTAGCACATAAGCATCAGCTCAGTTCTTATGTGACCTCCCAGCAAGGTTTTGCTGATGTCTCTAAGTAGACAGCCCTCCCCCTCAGTCTTCATTGCACTGTCCCACTGTCCTCAGAGTCTGTCCTTAGTGCTTATCATTATCTGAAATAATATTGATTTGCATTTCCACACTACAGTGTAAGTTCCAAAAAATCAATGACTATGTCCATTTCCTTAACTGTGGAATCTTTAGTACTTAGTACAAATTTAATTGTTTTTTAGGCATTAAAAAAAATTGTTTTGGGGGCCTCCCTGATGGCACAGGCAGTTGAGTGCAGTGCTGTGAAGCTGTCCCCTCTGCATTGCGGGCTTGATCCCTGCCAGCCTCTAAGCAACCCACATGGCGAGCAGACCTCTCCTGTCTTCGCTTGCTGCTCCCCTCAGCAGTGTATTTCGTCAGTCTGCCTGTTCTGTTCCCGCTCTTTCTCTGGTGAATCTTCTCACCCTCCTGCACATCTGGCCTATACCCTGGCTCTTGTATAAATAAATAAAATCTTTAAAAAAATTGTTTTGGGGGCCTCCCCTGTGGCACAGCGGTTGAGCACTGGGCTGCGAAGCTGCCCGCAGCCTCTGCAGCTCCGGTTCGATCCCTGGCCACTAGCGAGGATCCCACATGGCACGCAGACCTCTCCTGCCGCCCCCGCTACTCCCCTCAGCAGTGAACTTTGTCATTCTGCCTGTTCTGTTTCCTGTTCTGGCTCTGGTGAATTCTCTCACCATCCCGCGCTTCTGACTGTACCCAGTGCTTGTATAAAATAAATCAATCTTTAAAAAAAAAATGTTTTGAATGAGTGAATGATGTTATAGAAAGATGTCATTTGTTCACTGAAGATAGTTTTTGGAAATTCCATCCTACCTTTTAACTAACACAAATGTTAAAATAATTGCTGTGTAATATGGTGAAGCTGGGTTTTGCCACTACATAGTTCCCAATAGATGAAAAAGAACTTAAAAGTAAATCGACTTGGAATCCATTTGGGGGGAGTTTTTTTTTTTAAAGGTTTTTCATTTAAAAAAACAAACTTCCACTACTGGCAGACGCTTAGCTCCAAATCATGATTTGTCAAATGGTTCAATGGTATCTATTACATAACATTCAAGTTTTTCTGTAGCAATTTGCATACTATTATATAATTAAGATATTGAATTATAGTTATTATCCTGATTTAAAAAAGGGCCTGCTATGTTAATGAATAATAGATCTAGCCAGTGTTAAGTCACTCATATAAAGATTTATTTTGGGACATATTATTTACAGTTATTATTCTTCCTCACTGTGAACCAAGCATAAATGTTTTCTGAATGGTCAATAAGAGTTATGATTTCTAAAAGTTAGGAAGCACATTTAGAAATGCCATGAATCTCACTTCAAAATATTCTTTTAAAAGCAAAATACTTTCAGTCCACAGGTATTCCTAAGGAGATGGTAAAACAAAATTGTGACAGTCACATTGAAGGCTACCATGTCTGTGCCAACTGGCATTTCCCTCCTTGGGTGGAGAGACAATTTGAGAGGTCAACCAGGAGCTCAGGAGAAGTTATTCATGAGAGGGAAGAAAGTGAGGAAGGTGACCATGGGCACATGCAACTATGGCTATCAATTCCCTAGCCACAAACAGTGATTTTAGTCCTTCCCAAAACAAAAAATGTCTCTCCCACAAAATGGGAGAAGTCCTCTTGGGGATGGAAATGAGCCAGTCCAGTCTAGTAACATCTAAAACTTTGGCTCATAATTTGTCTGCAACCTTGAGTTGATTACCAGTTGAATATCTATAGAGTTATAGTCACACAAGAAAAACAAAGTGAGTACTTTAATGGAAAAAATATTTGCTAGTTTATGCTTTTCAACCATAAATTTCTTGAGGGTTTTGGCACCAGCACAGGTTAAGACAAACAAATAGCAAACATGGATGGAAAAGCAGAAATACACTTTTTTAAAAACATTATTATATTATTGAGATGCAGAGATACTCATACAAATATAATCACATGACCTTCAAGGAAAGGTATTTGTAATCTCTAAGTAAACCTTCAAATCAAGTTTAAGAACAGTGGTCTAAGCATCAAAGATACTTTAATTTGACAATCTTCTGAATATCTCCTATGTGCCTGCTACAGAGTAGGGGGATACTAGTCAATAAGCAAAGTCTAGGTCCTAAGAGTCTCACAGTCCAGTGGAATCTCAAGAGAAAGATAAAACAAATTAATACCCAGCTTTGGGGCTATTTCAGTAAGTGAAGGATCAGGGCCTAGGAGTCGATATTAGAACAAGGGAGAATTAGGAAAGCACAAACAGATAAGAGGATTTTGAAGAACAAAAACAATCAAAAAGTTGTGTTGGGTATACATTGAAATTACGGAGTAAGAGATGGAGTAATCACAATTATTTCAAACTTTTATGGCTGTGACAAGAAAACTGACAGATGGTTCTTCTAAAGGAGATAGAAATATGTGTAATCTTGGTTGGGAAAGTGGGCAGCTGGCATAGGGGCAATTCGTGAATCTAGATTTAGATGTGCGAAGGTTGAGATAAGGCGGAAATAGGGAAGTGGAAATACTTGAGTAGGGCTCCCCCAGAACTGGACCCTCTACAATGAGCTCAGCAGAGTAAGGGCAGTGATAGCAACCATGACACACAGCAGACATGAGTTTTGCATCCATTTTTGTTTGCCGTGTGCGCAGAGCCCAGCATGGTACATGCCACAAGGCACATGCTTAGTACATGCCTTTCAGATGGCTGTATTAAGAGACAGAGGAAACCAAAGAGAGGGAACAAGAATGACCTTTTGATCCACCCATCACTTAATAGGTTGTATCTTTGAGCAAGATATTATTCTCTCTAAAGCCACAGTTTCTTCATCTACAGTAAAGATAATAACAGCCACTTCACCATCTAATTTATGATGTGAAGGAGAGTTTATGAATGATGCTAATTACTCACTCATGTTGGCCATATTAAAATAACAAGGATTCTATAATCATATACAAAATGCCAAAATAGAATTCTATCATGGCAATTAATGGTATATTTTATTAATAATTATTATTGAAATGTTGTGAATAAATAAGCTGGAAGAGATAAAAGTTGGGACAGCCTTACTCAGGACCAGAGAACAGGTCCTGAATTTGGCCAGTTTGGAGACAGAAGGAAGATAAACCATGAATAAAATAAAGATACATTGCTGAGTATTTAAAAAGCAAAGCAGAATACAGAAAAGAAAGAAGTTACTAGAAAGAAGCGGGTTGAGAAGAACTTAATTTACCAGGCCATGCTATGCTAGGCTGGAAAGGCAGGCAGTTTATTTACATTATTTCATTTAATACTCATGGTAACCATGTGATATAGCATTATTACACCTGTGTGACCTAATAGGAGATAGGGCAATTAAATAACTTTATTTCTTCATTAAATAAATATTAAATACCAACCACATGCCAGCTTGTAGGTGCTAGGAACAAAGCAGCAAATAAAGTCTCTGCCTTTGTAGGACTTACATTCTTGTGGAAAGAGAGAACCTAAAAAAAATATGCCAGACTAATAGTGTAGCAGATCCTAAGTATTATGGAGGACAAGAAAGCCAGTGCAGGGTGTGCAAGAGAAAAGCCCAAGTTCACACTGTTGGAAAATCTCAAAGTCACTTGGAGTTCATGGGGATGGAAGTGGGAGTAAAAGGCCACTGGAATGAAACAGATAAAGGTCATGGCAGGAGGGGAAAAAAGAAGATGGTTCTCAAGAGAGAAGTTTAGCAAACAAGACAAGAATTAGAACAGCAGCTAGGTGTTCCAAGTTCCTTTCTTTTAAAGATCTTTTAAATTGCTGCTTGCACCACTGCCTGGAAGCAAGGAAATAAAAAAATGAGTCACACAGAAACACTCTCTCCAATTCCTTTACCTCTCTTCATCCAAAACAACAGGAGAGTAGCCATCACATCTCTATCAAAACATGCTTCTGGAAGAGACAATGATGAGTAGGCCAGTCAGAGCTCTCAGGCAATGCCACCACAACCCTGCCCTCTAGTCCAGGCCCAGGTGAGGAAATGCACCCTGTGCACCTAAGTCCCATTAGGGTTCTTAGCACCGCACAGGGTGTGATGCCTGCAAAAAACAGTACTGTGGCCACCACTGTTACTGGTAACCATTATCACTGCTGTTGCCATGACAGAATTCCAATGAAATCATTTCTCAACAGAAAAATGCAAAACGTAAATTACATGCTAACATTTAAAGAGTTTTTTCCTGAACTACAAAATCATGGGTGGCCCATTCAAATGCAACTTTGCTAAAAATTGCTGGTATTCCCACATTGCTGAAACCCTAAAGCATGGGCTAAGCTAGTCCATAGGTTATGCTGCAGTGGCCTTCCCTCAGGAGGTATACTGGCATGCAAAACGGCAAAACCAACAAAGCATGAAGATATTTTTCTTGACCTAAGGCTAGTGTCAAACCACAGATGTAACAACGTATGAAGCAGTTCGGTAGTGCAGGATTTTTAATTTATATCAACATTTCAATTATCTATAATTAAAAGAGCAGGTCAAAGTGTTTCCTATCTCAGTGAAAAAGCTTTTCCATCTAGCCAGCTGTTTCTCCAAGACATCTGAGAGTTATCTGACACTCT